CACGAAAGTCCCTGCTAGAGAGCAGGGACTTTCGTGCGGCTCTTTTGTGAGAAAAGAGCTATATTTCTGATTGGCTGGGCGGATTGCAAACCACGCCCCGTAAAACTACCAAAAAGTTTTGTGAAGCCGCCATTTTATTATCCTCGCATTAGCATTATTAGCATTAGCCCAGCGCAGAAACGCAGAGAGACTAACTTATGGCAACACAAAATAAAACATGGGAGCGGTGGAGATGAGGAGGTGTCGGCGTTCTGGCGATTTACTCGGAAGGCTTCAGTAGAAGCAGCTGGGAGTCCCAGCAGCTTCTACTGAAGCCAGTCCCCAACTCCGGGGACTTCCGGCCGGGGACTTTGGGCGGCAGTATACGCCGTGAAGTGGTTTGCGGCCTGCCAGTAAACCCAAAGCAGAAGAAGAAGAAGTGACGTCAGCGGCTTCATTTGCCTAATCCTCCCCCAGGGACTTATTCCGGTGTGAATGCGATCTGTACTTAGTTCATGAGAACTAAAGAGTTCTCATGAACTAAGTTCTCATGAACCTTTGTGGGAAAAGTAATGCGGTGTGAATGCACCTTTTTACCTCTGACTTATGTTCACTTCCAACATAAAAGTACCTCAAAAATAGTAATCAATAATGTATTGAAAAGTTATTTGGCTGATTGTTTTATATTGGCTCAGACAGGTTATATGGGAGGCCCAGTCTACGTACAGGTCACTCCTTTTGAAATATTAAACTTAGTTTTCTTTTCTTTAATTTTTCATCCTTGTTTCTAATGCTATCACGAAACACACATTTGGTTGTTTATAGCATAAAGAACATCTGATTTAATGTGAGGTAGGGAAATAATCATTTGAGTATGTGTATATAAATATGTAATTTACAACAGCTGTGAGATGCTTGAAAAGCTGGAAAATGCACCTTGAAAATGCTTGAAAAGTGCTTGAATTTGACTTTGGAAAAGGTGTAAGAACCCTCTGTACAGCACTGACACTTGGATTTTAATTATGTGTGTTCAACGACAAATAGCTTTAACATGAGCTAAATTGTTAACATAGTTGTGTGCATGCTGTATGAATCTCAAGAATTAAAAAGAAGATCCACAATGGGGCAGATCTGCGCTGAATGTAATCGGGCTGGGACGTAAATATCTTTAAAATGTCATGTTTGCACCAAGGGAAACAAGGCAACTCTCCAGGTAGCTACACCTTTAAGAGATTAGCTTTACATTTTTGTTGTGGTTTTGTTTGCGCATATATTTCCATCTGGCAGACGCAGGTTTTCTGAGTGTTTGCACAAGCTTGCTAACAGGAAGGCTCTTTGGAGAATCAGTGCACACATTGATGGGTATATATTCTTTTAAACTTTAAAACAAATCAAGTTTATTCTAAGCTGAGTCCGACCCGAATAGGTTTTGACGTTCTTTTTAGATGATGTGATACTTATCTCTGTAATAAAATGAAGGTTCAGATGAAGAGGAATCATCATCCTCTCCTAGCCCACTTATCTCCACAGTGGGAAAAACACCTTGTTGGAAATGTTTCACCTGCTAGTTCAATCAGGGTCTCAGATCTTTACAGACAATATATGTGTACTTGTATATTGACAGCAAGAGGACGCAACTATAGTGTAAATGTAATGTCACTCCAAAGTTACACAAGTTTTGAAAAACAGGTTTTGGAAGAGGTTGTAATTCGATCCAAGCGACCACACTCGTACACTAATGTAAAAGTATTTTCTGACATCCACAGCCATAAAAGCACATCCTCACATCTCCATAAGGAGTAAAAGCAGCTTCTCTCTGGTCCACCGACTAAACCAAAGCATCCCGCCGGCTCCAACCTGCCCGAGCTCCCACTCAGAGATTTCATCTGACCGTCAGTTCACCTGAAATCCATCCCAGAGTCACAAACTGAAGACAAGTCAGGAGCAATGTTGTGACAAATGGAAAACGTCTTGAAAATCCCTTTAGGACAAAGAGTTAAGTGCCTTTAGTGTTGGTCCAAAAGTAATAGTACATGTATTTATTAGTATGTTGGAGCCATAATAGACTTATTAATAAACTACATTTAGGGTTAATACTTTGACTAAATACTCAGATCTTGAACTTCAGTAAAAGTATTAAAACTAACAACATCCTCAGTACAAGTGAAAGTCCTGTCCAAGAAAGAGAGCTGACTAGTGAAGAGAAACGGAAAAACAAGATGTTGTTAAGGGACGTGAAAACAGATTAAAACAAAGATAATTAAAACAAGACAGAGCAAGTTTCAGACAAACAGCTCCAGAGATTCTGTTTGGAAAACTGAGAACTACTTTACTTCCTGTTCCCTTGTCTCCTTTCCTTTGTGTCTACCTCCTCCTTCCTCTAGTCCCCCACAATGTTTAGACACTGTTCTCAAAACAACACAATGTACCACAGAAACAAACCAGCTGGAGGCAATTAGAAAACAATTTGGAGAGACATCTCCAAGAACATTAAAAAAACTAAATGATTTCATCTTTGTGGAAACATGTTGACTTCTTTTAGTTGAGTTGTACATTCAGAATTGGCAGTTGTGTTCTTCGCAGTTTAATTATAGTGATACTTTATTGCATATTCATTTGTTGCATTATTATGGTATCCCTTAGAGACCTACAGTACATAGACCAAATGTTGTCTTTTTTATATATTTAGGAGGATAATGCAGGTGAAAAACACATTTCTCATTTAAGTGGTGAACATCATATGAAAGCTTGGATCTACAGATGAATTGAGGGACAGCTCAGTACTGAGTGTCAATGTTCTCAAGTTATTAATCTGTGATAAACGTTATGGTTTGATTAGGCGCCAAAACCATGCAAATCTAGATGTTTATAAGTCCTTAGAGCTTAATGATACAGGTATATCCTCGTGCTTCAATATATCTCATGAGTTGTTGCATCATTACCACTTTGTTCTTACAAAGATTTGCTGCTAAATTCTAACATTTTGATCACTGTAGAATTGGTCAAAATGAGCTTGAAAACGCCATATTAAGACCTTTAACATCTTGAGGAACATATAACAAAGTCATGCTGTGATTTGGTACCAAAAGCGTTCGATATTTGGAGACTTACAGCGATTGGAAAGCGGATGTATCCCTCCGTCCTTAGTTGGCTAGTTTGATGAGTACAATTACCTATTTCCAAGGGGCTGGTCACCCAATCATAGGACTGGGCAATATGAATGAAATCAAATATCACGCTTTCTCTGAGCAAATACCTCAGTATAGATATTGTGTGGTTGACTATTGATGCTTTCATTAAACAATTACAGTACACAATGAGATATTTTGATAAATGACCATCAGTAATGTAGATATGATGCCTGAATGAAGACAGATAATAAAACAGTTAAATTGAAACCAGAGCCCAGTCTGCTCCGATTGGTTAGCTGGCCGGTTCTTTTGCGATCGGTCAACTGTATAGCGACGTCCCGCCCCTTAGCCTTAGCGCAAATGTTATAAATTGATGTCCCAAAGGAGTCCAATGGAGGCACAGAACACAGGGATTTTATCCTCTGCAGACCATTTACATGCACACAAACCTGTAACACACTACAGGAAAGGGAAAACCCCATAACGTAACAATAAAACACAATATTCAGGATATATGTTATCACAAAAGTCCAGATATGTATTGCACCGTGACACACAAAGACCTGCAGTGTGACTCGCTGAGGTTATATCAGACCATCACCACGTAATTAGGCTCAATGACTCAAGGATTCATGGTGCTCCAAACCCTGACATATTAGATTAGTATAACTCAAAAGCAGCATCTGTTTCTGACCTCTGTGGATTACTCAGAGTGACTTTCACTGTCAACAGTTTCATTTAAAACTTCTTCTTTTGACTGAAACCATCTACTATTAAATTAAAAGCTGCAGAATGTGGTCTTTTCTTGGAATTTAAATCATGACTGCAGAGACTTTAAACTGTTTCCTCTGGCTCTTTTGATGTTAGGGGGTTCTTTGGACTCCATTCATTTATTGTTTCACCTTAAAAAAAAGTGTCTTATCTATTTGATTGACCGCCCTAATTGATCATCTTCGCTTTATAAAGCCCTGCTTATCTTATGGTAGGTGTGTCTATTCTCATTATTTGTGTTGCTTGCAAGGTTTCTCCTGTCATTTTCTGTATATAATATGTTAGTGAATATGATATGCAGTACTGCACAACTTTTAAAAAAATCGAATTAAATCTTTCGTAAGACTCAAACTGACTGTCCTTTTCATATCAAGTAGCTGCACAAAGAGAAACTTAAGAAAGCATTAATGTCCCTTTTTACGGGGAATTATTTACCCACAAAAAGAATGAATTCTGACTCAACATAAAAACCAAATGCCTTTACAGATTATCTTGGCAGCAAATGGAGGAAACTTATCAGAGGTATTTTATCTGGTACTTCATACTGTGCTAAAAGTGCTCATTATTTCACTCGTCTTTTTAACTCCTGTCTTGATTTTTTTAATTGTTTGTAATATTTTTCTAGTTCTCTGCCTGTGTTTTTAATTCTTGTTTTACTTTTATGTATGCACCACGACATCAAGTCAAATTCCTCTTACGTGTAAACCTACCTGGTGATAAACATGTTTCTGATTCTGATCTAATTTGGGGTCATGCAAGACAATGCTAAAAACCAAATGCCTTTACAGATGATCTTTGCAGCAAATGGACGAAAACGTACATAGAGGTATTTTATCTGGTACTTAATCGAAGAAAAGTGCTCATTATTTCACTCATCTTTTTAACTCCTCTCTATTGATTGATGTACATTTTTGGGGTCATGCATAGTACAGGCACTAGTAACGAAATGGAGTTTGGCATCTGACCAGAAGTGCAAAATAACAGTGCAAGTGTCTACATGATATGAATGAATAATTATAAATAGGCTATAAACAGATGAAGTATGAACGGTATTGACAGTATAATGATAGTATGCTATAGACAGTATAAGGATATAAACAGATTTATACTGTGTCTTACCAGAGGCATCATGGCGGAGGCGCTGGGGGACACCTGTCCTCTGTAATGGTTGTGGAGCTCCACCAGCAGCTCCTCCTGCTCCTCGTTCAGAAAGCTCCAGGCTCCAGGAACCAGCAGGGCCCCGAGCAGGAGCCAGGCCCAGAGAGGAGCTCCGCTCGGCGGGCAAAGGCTCCGGCACGAAGACCCCCTCCTCGACCTGGAGCTCCATGAGCCTTCGTCCTGAGTAGTCCTTCGGGTAGAGACCCCCTGCTGGGTGGGGACCCCCTGGTGCATGATGGGAAACAGTATCCTGAGGGACGTATCCTTAAGAGGTCAGTCCAGGGTCCAGCAAAATGTGTATGTGTGTGACAACTGTGTTTGTCTGTGTGTGTGTGTATGTATGTGTGTGTGTGTGTGTGTGTGTGTGTGTGTGTGTGTGTACAATAGGCCAATTGTTTTTGTTTCTGTGAGTGTGTGTGTGTGTTTGTGTGTGTTCAAGAGTCAGTAAAAGTGTGTGTTCCCTTGTCAGTGCCTCTCACTCTCAGCTCTGCAGATCTCTCTGTTTCTGACCCGGCTTTAAGAGCAAGAGGATCCTCCCCTACTCAAACACACACACACACTCACACACACACACACACACACACACACACACACACACACACACACACACACACACACACACACACACAGTTCACATTTCACACACTGCTCCGACTGGTACGCGAAACAAACGCACCCCCCCTCAATCCTCTCACCCTCCATATTCTCTGTGTCAAACTCTCTCCTCCTCTCTTCTGTTCTTTCTCTCTTTTCTTTTCCCTTTGTCCATTTCAGATTTATCGGCACCACATCCAGGGGATAATGTCGGCTCAGATTTAATCACAATAAATATGCACATGAACGTTTAGTGAATATGGCTACATTTTTCTTTTAAATGGAGGAAGGATACTGGACACTGGACACTGAACATATAAAACTATACACAGACAAACACTGTCACAGCAAAAGTTCCCAAAATTAAAAATAGATGTAAGGATAACCAGGATAAAGTACTTAAAGTATTTAAAGAGGCCCTATTGTGCTTTTGGGGGTTTCCCTTTCCTGCTGTGTGTTATACAGGTTTTAGTGCATGTAAATGGTCTGCAAAGGCTAAAATCCCTGTGTTCCCTACAGAGGGAGTTCCAGAATAGGGCTCCTTTAACCGTAATACTATTATATATTAGAATAGAATATAATATATCTTTATTGTCATCATACAAAGTACAACGACATTTATTTGGCAACTCTCACTGCAGTAGAAAATAGACACAATAAATAAATAAGAGTAGTAAAAGCAGACATAGTAGCGATGACAGTGCAACGAGATCAAATTTAATGTCAATAGGCGCTGTCACACCAAGTACTTTGCCGTACTTTGTTCATCAGAACTTAGTTCATCAGAACTTAAGTACAGTTCGCGTTCACACCGGAATAAGTCCCTGGGGGAGGATTAGGCAAATGAAGCCGCTGACGTCACTTCTTCTTCTTCTGCTTTGGGTTTACTGGCAGGCCGCAAACCACTTCACGGCGTATACTGCCACCCGGAGTCCCCGGACGGAAGTCCCCGGAGTTAGGCCTTCCGAGTAAATCGCCAGAACGCCGACACCTGCTCATCTCCACCGCTCCCATGTTTTATTTTGTGTTGCCATAAGTTAGTCTCTCTCCGTTTGTGCGCTGGGCTAATGCTAATGCTAATAATGCTAATGCGAGGATAATAAAATGGCGGCTTCACAAAACTTTTTTGGGAGTTTTACGGGGCGTGGTTTGCAATCCGCCCAGCCAATCAGACATAGGAACCTTTTTCTCCCACGAAAGTACCTGCTCTCTAGCAGGGACGGAAAAGGGGGTGAAAAGGTTCTCATGAACTAATGTCTAGTTCCGGATTTGTTTGGTGTGAACGCAACATTTCGGAACTATATCGGAACTAAAGTGGGAAAAGTACTCCGGTGTGAAAGCACCTATTGTGCATATTTACACTTACAGTCTACATATATATTAGTAAAATAGCCATAAGTATTTATAAATAGTCGTTTCTGTTGGGGAAATATTTTCCAAGGCCCATAACTTTGACCCAGTTTATCAGTTCAAACTGTCCTGACTGAGCACACGCACCTGTAACCTTGGCTGCTGTGCTCTGTGTTCTGTCTCCCTGTTCCTGCCTGTTGGCGTCAGCTGATAGAGGTGTTATGATTATATCTTGTTATTCAGCCCTCGCAAGAATACTTTTCGGATTGCAGGCTTGGCAGATAGCTTAACACGGAAATAAACACCCAGGAGACAGCAGCTCAGTTTTGGATGTTTACTGATTAAGTTCCATTTTCCTTTCCATTTTCATTTTCATTTCCATTTTGTAAAACTGAAATACAAACAAAACCCAAAGTCATAAGACGTTGTCACATTACACACTAAATAAACAAAGAAACAAGACTGAAACAAACATTCCAAACAACAGAGTACCTGTTAGCATAAATGCTACAAACATTTCCACTGCTGTTCACAGGCTAACAAGTTTAGCATCATTCATTGTTCTTCATGTTTGCATATAATCAATTCAAATGTGCAACTAAGTATACACGGACAATATATGGAATGGTACTTACAAATAGTGATGGCAGTTTGACACTGAAGCTTCGAACGGAGCTTCAACCCTGGACTTCCTATTCCATAGAAGCAGTGCTTCGAAGCTTGCTTCAAATCACGTGACATGTGACGTCCGAAGCAGCAACTGCTTCATTTCCTGAATGAATCACTTGACTGGTTCGCGGTCCATTCACGCGATTCAATGCACTGCCTCGTCTCGATTCTGACAGGTGACAGGTTGAAACTGCTTCGAATTTGAGCGCTTCAACACTTTATGACCGCTCTAAACAATGCGCAATGTGTGGGTTGTTGTCGTAGTTTGCGTTGTTGCTGTTGAGTTGTTGTTGTTATTGCATTTGATATCATTATAGAGCAAGCCAGGAAGAAAGATAGGTCGTTCTGGCTCGGGAAACACTTCGAAATGTGGAGAAGTTGTGAACAAAAAGATAATGAGTTATATAAAAACAGTTCAATAGTTTAAGGAATAGATAGCCCAGTGGGTAGAGCCGGCAGCCCGAATGCGGTGATGTCCTCCGCGCACCTGGTTCAAAGCCCGGAATGGATGTACTTTTAATCATTGCTTTTCAACTTTAATAACTGATAAAAGGCCCTCTCCTCCCAAAAAAATTTCCAGCACTCTCTAGTCTCTTCTCAATAACCCAATACACACAATTATCAATCTTTAATTGCAAATAGAACATGATATTCAGTCTTAGTGTGTGTGTGCATCGAATATTTTTCACGGCAAAGATCCGTTACACCCACTGCAGCCTTGCAATTCGCCAGGAGAGGTCGCTGTAACTGAAGCTTCGAGAAATGAACCTATTTCCGACACAATTGTCCAAGTGGTTCGACGCTTCATTCAAAGCTTCATTTTGCCATCACTACTTACAGACATAAAGACCCTAGGATTTGAGCAAGGATTTAGTTGACAGGAAACAACCCATGTGCAGACAGCCAGAAACAGGAAACTACGGCAAGCATTTATGGACACACAGTGCAAAACCCAAAACCCTTTGCAGGCCCTCTTAAAGGGGCAGCACACTCCCCGCTTGGTATAATGTACCACTAAGTCCCTTTGAGAAGGAGAACAACTTCAGAGACTGGTCTTGAATACACCCTGGGAGAACCTTCTTTAATCACCCGTACTTCCACTTTACGGACCCTGTTGTCTTGACCAGGTAAGGTATTTACTATAAGTTCAGTAGGCCATTCGTTCCTTTTAACCTGTCCGTCCTTCAGAAGCACAACGTCTCCGATTTGCAAGTTAGGCTTATCTGCTTGCCATTTTCTTCTTGGTTGTAGTGTTGCAAGGTATTCTTGTCGCCAATGTTTCCAGAATGAATCAGCTAGACTTTGGACTTGCTTCCATTGACTCCGGTAAAGATCTTTAAGGTCAAGGTCTCCAGAAGGAGCTGAAAGTGAGTCTATTTTTTGTGTCAAAAACATGGCAGGAGTGAGTACAGTGGGCATGTCTGGATCTGATGACACTGGAACTATTGGTCTTGCATTCATTATAGCAGTGACTTCTGCCATCAATGTGATGAGGACTTCATGCGAAAGGTTGGGAGAGTGCACCTTGAGCAACATAGCATCCAAAATGGATACAACTCTGCTTTTTGAGGTAGGACTGGAGCTCAGCGTTTCCTTGTGTTATTCCAAGTTCTTTGCAAGCACCAACGAAGTTCGTCCCACGGTCCGAACGAAAAAGCTTTACTGGGCCCCTGATTGCAGTGAATCTTCTTAGCGCATTGATGAAGCTTGAGGTGGATAGAGACTCAACTACCTCAATGTGTACTGCCCTTGTGACTAGACAAGTAAACATGACGGCCCAGCGCTTGTTTTCTGAGAGACCTCCTCTGGTACGACGAGCGCAGACGTTCCATGGTCCAAATACGTCTAGTCCAACATGGGTGAATGGAGGAGCTTGGGTAAAACGATCAGCAGGTAAATTGGACATTTTTTGATTTTCCACACTTCCTCTTAACCTTTGACAGGTGACACACTTGTATATGATGCTTGATACCAGCTTCTTTCCTCCAAGGACCCACAGACCGGCTGACCTGACAGCCCCTTCAGTGATATGTCTTCCCTGGTGTGCTTGTCTTTCGTGGTAATATCTCACCAGTAATGTAGTGATGTGATGATTTTTTGGGATGATAATTGGGTCTTTCTCTTCCCAAGAGATTGCAGCAGCTGACAAACGACCACCAATCCTCACCACATCATCTATATCCAAGATGGGATCAAGCTTTCTGAGGGGGCTGTTTGAAACCATCTCTCCTTTAACCAGAGCCTGTATTTCTCCTTTGAAGGCTTCTTGCTGAATGCAGCGGATGATTATTATTTTTGCCTGCATAAGCTCATCTGCTTTTGACTTATCCCCCTTTTTACCTCTGGAACAAGATCTGACTCTCCAGATAAGCTTGGCCACTGCTTGGGTGAGTAGCTCCCAGCTGGAAAAGCGTTCAAATCTGTGTGAACCTATCTGCGTTTCAGAGGTTGTTGTAGCAAAAGTCGTAATTACCGGGCGCACATCTGTATCCAAGTCCGGTTCGACAAGCCCAAAGATCTATTCCTGACGAGGTGCTCCTTCATCTTTTTTCAGAAAGGAAGGACCTGAAAACCAGTTTGTACCTCCTAAGAACATAGATGGTACATACCGTGTACCATGATCTGCAGGATTGTGCTCTGTGCTGATGAAGTGCCACTGTTCAGGACTGGTTGACTTTCGTATGCGTGTAACTCTGTTGGCGACGTACACATAGAACCTCCGGTTGCTGTTGTGAATGTAGCCCAACACAACTTTACTGTCTGTGTAGAACTTCAGTGTGTCAATTTTGATATCCAGCTCTTCTACCAACAGCTCAGATAGTTCGACTGCCAGCACAGCTGCACAAAGTTCCAGACGAGG